TGCCACACGTTGTTTCGCCATCGCCTCCTCGGCCTTTTTCTCAAGTTCCAGCCGTCGCAGCAGAGTCAATTCCGCCACACGCGTCGCCCCTGTCGTCGTGGTCAGCGCGTACTTCTCCACCTGCAGGCCGTGCCGCTCCACCTCTCGCTCAAAGGCGCCACGCCCACTGTGGTGCAGGCCCATGTTGTTGTTGTGGCTCTGCGTGCCGCGTCGGGCGTTGAGGCTGTTGCGGGTCTGAAGCCGCTCCATCTCGTAGTACCATCGCATCGTCGCGCGGGCAGAGAGGTACCGGTTGGTCTTGTAGTCATTCACGTGGTCCTCGTCCCACAGGCCGGTGCCCTTCTTGTATTTCATGGTGAACCCACCACACGCGGCGGCGGTCCGCCTCATCCTCCTCCTACAGAAACACCCTCTGCGTGCCAATGGGCGCAGCCGCCCCCCCAACAAAAAAGGGAAGAAAAGAGAGCACACAAAAAAATAAATCATTCATTACATTCCCGGGAGGGCTCACGGCCGCAGAGAACAACAATTGCAGCAAAAAAAAAAAAAGGAGAACGAAAGAAAAAGAGGAGGGCGAGGCGACAACAGTCGGGGAACAGAAGCAAACCAAACGAGAGGGCTCCTCAGCTCCGTTTATCCCACCAGCGGAACATTTCGCTCATCTGCAACTTCTTCACAATTCGACGCACACCCGCCGGCATCCCGCAACGACGACGACGGAAGGCGGGGCGGCAGGAGGCTTGCTGATATTTCCTCCATTTATTCTTTCGCGGCCTTTGCTCCAGCTCCAGCAGCATTGCTGCATGCACATCAAAAGCACTGCTACATTGAAGCGCCTTCAGCCGTGCAATTCTGAGGAGAGACGGAAGGTCCGTTATCCCCAGCGGAATGATGCGCAGCGCCGACTCCCAACGGCCACGCGCCACAAGTGCACCCGCAACGCACGCAATTGTCGATATCAATATGGCGTCATCCACCCGCGTGAGACGACACGCCCGACCCGACTCCACCAAACCAACTTTTTTTCGTCCCATTTCTTCGGCCGCCAGAACACCACGACGAAGGGTGGCCACGCTATCACTTCCAAATGAAGCCAGTCGCACGGCGTGGTGGACTGCCACCCCATCGCAACGGGCGGCACCGTCCACGCAACTCATTTTCATCCAAGACACCTCCTGCAGGGCGTGGCGCCACAATCCTACCGCCTGCATCCTGTAGAGTGCTGTTGCCATTGGCACTCCCGCAACAGCCGTGTCTGACGACCACCATGCCGTTTTTTTTGTCGCGCAAGACACCGCGACAACGTCAACCTTCGGACGGAGGCCAGCCATCTGCGCGGAGCGGAGAAGGCGACGCAATGCACCAAGCTCCAGAGGAGCCGGCGAAGAACACGGCACTGCTGCGCCACCATCACCTTCCACAGCAGCAGCATCATCCTCCTCACTCAAGATCTGCAGCATTGCATAGACAACGGGCGTGGGGGCGCAGGCCGCAATGGACTCCAAACAACTGCGCGGATAATGCAGGAGACCCAAAACACTTACTGTGGAAAGCAGTTTCAGCCCGGTGCTCCACGAATGCGAAGGTTTATCATGCATTTGCGCCGCAGTGCGTTCCACAAAGGCACGGAACACAGCCGGGGCGCAATCGGGAAAAAAGCTCCGCACACTTCTTACCACCCGCTGCAGCTGTGCAGCATCCCTATCGAGGTCATAAACACTTTCAAGTACCTCAACAAGCGCCACCATCTCCGGCACAACGCCACGTTCAGCAGCCATCTGCAGAACCACATCGACAGAGTCATACCGCCTGTGACGGAGAAGCAACCGAATCCAACATGACAAGACGGAGGACGGCAAGTGTGGCATGGCGGCGGCCACACGGGGAATGTAGCTCACAGGCAATGACCAGAGAGCCTGTCCCACATGGGGCTGGTGCCGAGCTGCCGCCTCTGCAAGGTGTCGCCATGGGCCTGCTGACAAGGCTTCAAAGCCTTCGGGCGCACCCAGTGCTTCTGCTGTTGCTTTCGCCTCCAGGAGAAGTGTGCAGTTGTGATTTGGCGCCACGGAAACGATATTGAGAGGCTTGGAGCCGCAACATGACGTAGTAGCGACCGATGGGAGCCAACTCCATCAGCTCCCAAGGAGCATCCAATGAATGTGCCACGCCAGCACGATGGTTGTGCTGCATAAGCCGCACAGTGCGATACCAGTCATGACGACATGATGCAGGGAGAGCCAAGAAAGTTGAGAGAGAACCGAGACGCATATCAAAGTGAAGCTGAAACGCCTGAGCACACACCGCATCGTCTGATAACGGTGCCGCATTCCGCATATATTGCAGAGCCGTCACATGCTACCACTCCTACTGCCCCTATTTCCGCTGCCTTCCCTATTCGATGCGTCATACCCATTTTCCCATTCATTTCGTGTGAGTTCAGCGGCAACACGGTGAATGGTGTACGTTGCTACCACCGGCGACATCTCTTTCCGAAGCGCCTCGATAGTGCCGATTGGAGGTGATGATGACGACGACGATGGTGCAGTATACTCGCCATTTCGCACCGCCCGCAGAAGCACCACCATTTCTTCACCAAATCCGCATCTGTTACTCTTCTTTCCCTCTTCTGTGACCTCCAGCAGGACCCCTGAGGCGAAGGAATGGTATGCGGCGGACTCATACCATAGACCAGACTCCTCGCACAGCGCTGCTAGTGTCTCCGCCGTCAAAACGCATTCGCCAAACCGCAGTGCCGTCATAGTCCTCTCACGATGCACCACGCTGCTGCCACCCTCGCCGAGAACCACATGACGCACCACCTCCGTGATTCCCCACAATTGGACAATTGAACTCACATCAGACACCGCCATCATCGCCTGCAGCAGAACCCACGCCTCCTTCTTTGTGGCATGGCGATCTTTCAAGACGGTTGCCAACGCCTCATGGAGTCGGTCGGAGGAGACGGCATAATGCGAAAAAAAACGAAGAAGAGCCGCCACAGTGGCTGCACGGTCGGTGATGGGTAGGCAGAGCAGCACATCCGTCACACTGACGCCGCCACCATCACCACCACTACTACTGCTACTATTTAATGCGTAAATGCAGCCGAGCGCCATTGCCACTCGCCGGTGTTCGGTTCGCATGTGTGTGTCTTGGCACAGGCGCCGCACGCACTCGAAGTCCACAAGCGAACGCTGAACCTGACGGGCGTACCAGCGTGCCCTGGGAAGCTGCAGCGCGGCCCATTCATCGTCCATACCAGTCTTGGAAAAAACCATGTCATCCTGCGCAAAGCACCCATCTTGTTTTGGTTCCTTCTGTGCTGGCCCATCACCCGCAAGGTACCGCCGTGACACACACATGGCAACAGAATCAAATCCAACAGTACTCAGCGGCTGTCGGTGGCGGGAGAAGAAACGGTGCCATTGCGGAAAAACAGCGACATCACTATCGTTATTACGATTCTTATTATTACCACGGCAGCAGCAGCTATTGATGTTCTTCACAAAACAAAATGTCGCAGCAGCAGCAGCAGCAGCGGAAGAGGAATCCATCCAAGAGAAAACCGCCAGTGTCTTTGCTGTCCCTCGCGTAAGCCCCCATAGCCGTCGCAGCATCCGGGTCGGTGATGTCATCAGCGCCAAAAATAAGGCACAAGCGGGCGGTAAACCCCTCGTAACGCTTGGGCAAAACTGAAAAAATGTTCTCCAGTCAATTTTCTCCGGAAGTTGTATCGTTTCCACGTAGCCAAACATAATTCCGGCTGCTCTCTCTTCAGCGGTTGCACCCGAAGAAAGAGGCCGACGCGGGACCCTCGAGGCGCTGCATGTCTGGAACGCATCCAGCACGCGACCCACTGGGCGTTGCGCCATAAAAGAAGAATGTGTGATGCCTCACTTGGCCACGAGACGTCTTACCTTCACGGACACTCATCGTTACATGACAGAAAAAAAAAGGATGGGGCGAAACATTGCAAAGACAAACATCAACAAGAACAATAAATACATTTTTTTAAAACTCCTCCTCGCTCCATTCCCACAGGCAGTAAAAGGACAAAAGGCAGATCACAAACTGACGCACAAACGTAAGATGAACAAGATGCAAGTTTATTGAAGCAAAAGTCGCATCACAACAACCACAACCTCCACCAGAACAAAAAAAAAAAAAACATGTAAATCCTACTTCTTGGCAGAAATATTGTTGATGCCCTTGAATGGAACCATTGGTAGCACGTCAGAAAAGAGAATTGCAGCTCGGCTTTCCTCCCCTCATTTTGTCCATGAAACAATAACGGTATGCGCACCTATGCCTCACTTCATTACGACTGTGATTTGCTTTTTGCACCTCTCCGCTTTGTCTCACTAAAAATTGACTTTTAATGGGTTTCCATGGCACCGAGAAGAGAGGTGAATAAGACCCCTGCGAACAGGGCTAAGCTTGCCCGTGTCCCTTTCAGCTCCTCCAGCGTAAGTGTCGTGAGGCCTGCGTATAAAAAAAAGCCACTGCCCACAGCCTGTGTGAGCGCCAGCCATTTACTCTCCTTGTGCCAGCTGCCTCTCAGGTGACTTTCCGCGCCATCTGAGGGCCGAGTCAGACCGCCGCGATGGAGTGCCTCGCTCACGCCATGGACATGGAAGTCGCCTGTGAGCACTACACAGAACAGAAGAGCGGTCGGCATGATGCAGAGCCACAGAATGATGGGGAACCGGCAAGCGCGACGCCTAAACGTTGCAGCAAAATCACCGGCCGTGGTATTCTTTTCCGCGGCGTTGAGTGGCGTCACTTCATCAACCGCCTCCATCTCGGCGCGGACTTCCTTCGCAATGCAGACACCGACAACGACACCGTCAAAGAAACGGTGAACAAAAAGCGGCACGGCAGAACCCATGAGGGCAGCGACGGAGGCCTCAAGACCCAACAGAACTCCTTCCACTGCCGCGTGAAAGCACATGGGCAGCATAATAAGTGGCATCAGTGTTAGGCGCTGATAACTCTCGTGTGCAAGAAACAAGCCATGACTATGACCGTACCCACTCTGTGCCACACTTTCAGTGATGTTGCGTTCAATCAAGGCGGGAAAAAGGACACCAATCATCAATGCGGCACAGAGTGCTGTCGGGGAAACACCGTTTCCAGCCGTCGCGAGAGCGCATGGCATAAAATGCACCAGCGAAATTGCAAGCAGCGTACCGGCCGAGAAGCAATTCGCCAGTGACAGTGGCCGCGAACTTGTCATGAGTTGTGTGCGGGGGCGGGGTGGCGTGTTGCCTTTGGCATTCTGCACGCACAAAAAAGGCGTGCACATCCCCAAGACCGTAACTGACGTCAGGGACAGCGCCACCCCAATCTTGAATAACGCCACATCGTTCATCCTTGCCGTGGCCCAGGCGCAATTCTCCAGAAGCAGCTGCAACAAATCTCCCCGCACCACTCGCACACCAATTCCCTCTTCACTACAAGACACCATGCAACAAGAAATACAAAAGCACCGTGAGAAAAAAGAGAAGAATAATTCACATAAATACCGTGACATCCCTTCGTATATATACACATTACCGGACCGCATGGGTATATCTGTTGCCAATAAAGCCATTCACAGAGTAACACACACACACACCAACAACAACAACAACAAAAATCCATCCTTTCTTCCCTCCACTCCGGCTTTCATTTCACATCGTCATCGTCCTGAACCATGTCTTTCATGACTCCGATGGGTACCCCAATTTGTAATAAAAGATTCCCCACGTAACTGTAATTGGAGGGGCCCGGAAACACACAGGGCAGGGAGAGAGGGAGAGAAAGAAGAAACAGTTATATATAAATATAAATCAATAATTCAATACTTTTATATTTACTTGCATACAAACACAGATACACGCAGAAATGCAACACATAAGTATGAGAATATAAAAAAGACCACAGTGTACATCATGAGGCGCAGATAAAGCAAGAGGGAGGGGAGAAAAAAAAGGGAAGAAAACAACACATCATTTCACCTTTTTTTTCTTTTTTTCTCTCACGCTCTCTCTCTGCTTGTTTTATTTCTACTCCTCCTCTTTTGATATTTCGTTCCTTTTCTTCCTCTTTGTATCATTCCCTACGCAAGAGAGTTGAGCGCCTTGTCTTCACGTTGGTTTATGGCATGTTCGGCAGGCAACGTGTCCTTTAGAGTTGCTTGCAACATGGAGCCCTCAACCGTACTGCGGATGCCCTTTTCACTCTTGGGTGGAAGTTCTTTTGATTGCGGCGCACGTATCCCGCCACGTTTCCGCACCAGTGGGTTTTTGCAGTTATTTCCTGCGTCTACACCACCACCATGTTCGGCGAGCGTCATGAAGGACTTGCTCCAAAGGCGCAGCGGGTCGGTGTCGTTGCCGCGTATTGCCGCAATGTTGCGTGGGTGACAGGGGGCATGGCCCGTATAGTTGGGTACCGCCGTTTCCATCACCTTCGCCGTGCCAACAAAGAGCGGATGCGACGTTCCCATATGTGTGATGACGCGCTGCTGCACGTCGAGCGCCTGCGACAGGGTTGCCGTATTCGGCAAGCGGGCAATGGGACCCATGTCAAAGCCCAACTGTTCCTCCGTCGTCGGGGCAAGTTGTGTACAGTCGACAATGTCAAGACAGTAGCTTGCGGGACGACCGCTCTCGTCGGTGACGCATGGCGGACGGACAGGTCGAAAACTGTGGTACTTGTTGGCGGCCGGGCAGAGAAGGGGGTTGCTTGCCCTTTTCCGCATGATGTCTACTGTCCGCTGTGTGTTTCCGACGAGGCCGCTGCGTCTGTCGTCGTCCTCATGCTCAATCTTACGGGCGGTGCTGTAGAAGCCATGCGACGCGACCGGTAATACATTGCGACTACTCGCCTGCTGCTCCGTTTCCCATTCACTCGGCATGTGTCTGGTGAGGACGGGCTCGAAGAACCGCAAATTACTCGACACCTGCAATTCCTCCTCTGGCTGCGACGGCAAAGAATGCCGTGGTACCGCTGGCTGCTTCCGCTCGCACTGTAGGTGTTCCTCTGCCACGGGCGCGGTAACAATTTCAAGACGAGCACTTTTGCCACTTCCCGCTGCTCCTACTCGGGAGCGGAGGAGGGAGAGGAAGCGGTTCCCGTCGGAAGGATCCGTGCGCGCGGGGACGAAGTTGTATGCGGCGTCATATGTTGTATGAATGCCGCGGTGCAGCGCAGATTTGGCAGAAACAACCTCCTTTACTTGCCGCCGCCATGACACCCGGTCGCTCAGCGGCGCCCTAGTGTTCACTGCTGTCTTCAGCGTGATGGAAAAAGGATCACTGCTCATTGAAATGTAAACCTCCAGTCAGTTACTCAGAGAAGAACACAAAAAGCCCGCAAGGATCCGGAGAGAAGCAAACAGCGACTACCCCCCGATCTTCCTGCGCAGAAAATAGAAAAAACATGTGGAAGAAAAAAAAAAGGTACAAAGGGGGATGTACGCGCACTCATAAATGAATAACTATATGCACATGCAAAGAAAGGGAGGGTGAGAGAGAGAGAGAGATGGAAACAAATGTAGCATGGAAAGAAGTTTTTATCCTTCGCGGAGTATTTCACAAATAGCGGCCAACGAGCGGGCTGAACGCAGTAAAGTTATCATACAATTCCTCTGGTGCCACCCTCGCCACGACGCAACGCGTGGTTTCACGAGGGCAGCGCAGCTCGGCTGCAGTGCCTGTGCCTCCAGGAAACATCTTCGAAACACGCAGAATCCGACCCGTTGGGAGCTCCTCGTCTCCCATCAATGCGTTATCCGTAGATTTCCTTCTCATCCCCTCGCCAATCAACGGATGATTGGAGAGCACCCGTAATTTCTTCTCTTCCCGTAACAAAGCCACACCTATAAATGCCCTCGACTCGTGCATCACAACGCCCAACGCAGAGCCGACAACTTCAGCGATGACAGTGCAGGGATCCTCGTTGTCTTGTCTCCATCGCATTCGCTCCACAACCACCAAAAGCCCAAAGAGAGGGAAGGCCCGCAGGAGCTGAACATCACACTGGCCATCAGACTGAGCCTCCCAGAGCGCATGCCATTGCTTCTTGTGGAGACGACGCTGCTGTAGGACCGAGGCCAAAGCAGACCAGAAGGCTGCGTGGAGGCGTGCTTCTCCTCCATCAACACCATTCCCCTTCTCCGCAGAACGACAACAATGTCGGCGGCGGTTCTTAACGAGGCGCGACTGCCCGTAAAGAGAGAGCGTTTTAAAAAGTTTGAACAGCGCGGTGGCCTTCGTGACGCCATTGCTCAGCCAACGAAGTTTTCGTGCAGTGAGGCGACGGGCGCGACACGGTGGCGGCGGTGTTGTGGAAGCGACTGAAGCACCGGCAGCGGACAACACACACGACTGTACTGCTGTGGCCGTCACAGGCACATTAATTCTCTGCTTGTTGCCACAACCAGCCGCCGTGCGTTTGGGTCCACGCCTCTTTTCCCTCTTCGGCACGGCCTCCCTGCCCCGCGTCACCGCCTCGTTCACACGCGGGCCCTCCGCGGTCTCCTTTTTCTTTGATGTCGCGTTCGTCAAGGGGCGCAGCGAGACAAAAAAAGGGTTGGACCCCCGCATCACCGCGGCAATTATCCCTTCGGGTGGGCGGTTGCGGTGCTTCCACCGCGTCACTCCCTCCCCGTCCCGCTTCGCAGTTCTCTCGTCCTTGTCGCCGCGGCTGCATATACCGGCCTTGTCAATGATGGCGTCCAAAACATCGCCCACACATTTGCTGCTGCCCCTTTGCCAGACCAACGCACTACGCATCCTCCTGAGTATACGCATGTAACCCATACGGGGAAGGACAATAAAAAAAAGAACAAAAACAACAACAACAAAAAAACAAAAAAACGGAAAAACCGAAAAAAAAAACTCGACCAGAAAAAAAGAACACCCAAAAGAAAAAAACCTCAATCAAAGAAAACACAAATAAACAACAACAACAAAAAACTGCAACAAACACCAGGAAAAAAAAAAACGAAAATAATAAGGATAAAGAACAACCAACTCAAAAGCAGCCCCAAGTGTCTTGCTCCCTTCCTATCACCGTTGCTAATCTATCTATAGTTGCGGGGGCATGGCGTTGCCGCCAGTCCACCCGCCGCGACTGATGCCTCTAACATGTGGGTCCTCACGCGTAGCCGTACAGGATCTTGCCGCGCTTGCGCAGCGCGTTCACGACGTCCACGGCCGTGACGGTCTTCTTGCGGGAGTACTCCGTGTACGCCGTGGCGTCGCGCACGACGCCCTCCACGAACGACTTGATCACGCCACGCACCTCGTCGTAGATGATGCCGGAGATGCGCTTCACGCCGCCACGGCGCGCCAGGCGGCGGATGGACCCGCGGGTGATTCCACGGACGTTCTCGCGCAGGATCTTCTTCTGGCGCTTCTGCGTCCCCTTCGCCTCGCCGCTCTTCTTGCCCTTCGCCATCTTGCTGTGTTTGTTTAGCTGTGTGCTTGGTTGCTTGGTTCTGCGCGGTGTGTGAGAGCGAGGGGCAAAAAGAAAGGAAAAAAAGGAGAGAAAGAGAGAGAAGGTGCAGCTGGACGCCCATGAGGACTGGTGATCACAGAGGGGAGCGTGCCTCACTGCACACGCACACACACACATGTGTATATATATATATCTACGTGTGGCCGTCAGCCGAGCGGCCCCAAGTGTCTTGCTCCCTTCCTATCACCGTTGCTAATCTATCTATAGTTGCGGGGGCATGGCGTTGCCGCCAGTCCACCCGCCGCGACTGATGCCTCTAACATGTGGGTCCTCACGCGTAGCCGTACAGGATCTTGCCGCGCTTGCGCAGCGCGTTCACGACGTCCACGGCCGTGACGGTCTTCTTGCGGGAGTACTCCGTGTACGCCGTGGCGTCGCGCACGACGCCCTCCACGAACGACTTGATCACACCACGCACCTCGTCGTAGATGATGCCGGAGATGCGCTTCACGCCGCCACGGCGCGCCAGGCGGCGGATGGACCCGCGGGTGATTCCACGGACGTTCTCGCGCAGGATCTTCTTCTGGCGCTTCTGCGTCCCCTTCGCCTCGCCGCTCTTCTTGCCCTTCGCCATCTTGCTGTGTTTGTTTAGCTGTGTGCTTGGTTGCTTGGTTCTGCGCGGTGTGTGAGAGCGAGGGGCAAAAAGAAAGGAAAAAAAGGAGAGAAAGAGAGAGAAGGTGCAGCTGGACGCCCATGAGGACTGGTGATCACAGAGGGGAGCGTGCCTCACTGCACACGCACACACACACATGTGTATATATATATATATATCTACGTGTGGCCGTCAGCCGAGCAGCCCCAAGTGTCTTGCTCCCTTCCTATCACCGTTGCTAATCTATCTATAGTTGCGGGGGCATGGCGTTGCCGCCAGTCCACCCGCCGCGACTGATGCCTCTAACATGTGGGTCCTCACGCGTAGCCGTACAGGATCTTGCCGCGCTTGCGCAGCGCGTTCACGACGTCCACGGCCGTGACGGTCTTCTTGCGGGAGTACTCCGTGTACGCCGTGGCGTCGCGCACGACGCCCTCCACGAACGACTTGATCACGCCACGCACCTCGTCGTAGATGATGCCGGAGATGCGCTTCACGCCGCCACGGCGCGCCAGGCGGCGGATGGACCCGCGGGTGATTCCACGGACGTTCTCGCGCAGGATCTTCTTCTGGCGCTTCTGCGTCCCCTTCGCCTCGCCGCTCTTCTTGCCCTTCGCCATCTTGCTGTGTTTGTTAAGCTGTGTGCTTGGTTGCTTGGTTCTGCGCGGTGTGTGAGAGCGAGGGGCAAAAAGAAAGGAAAAAAAGGAGAGAAAGAGAGAGAAGGTGCAGCTGGACGCCCATGAGGACTGGTGATCACAGAGGGGAGCGTGCCTCACTGCACACGCACACACACACATGTGTATATATATATATATATATCTACGTGTGGCCGTCAGCCGTGCGGCCCCAAGTGTCTTGCTCCCTTCCTATCACCGTTGCTAATCTATCTATAGTTGCGGGGGCATGGCGTTGCCGCCAGTCCACCCGCCGCGACTGATGCCTCTAACATGTGGGTCCTCACGCGTAGCCGTACAGGATCTTGCCGCGCTTGCGCAGCGCGTTCACGACGTCCACGGCCGTGACGGTCTTCTTGCGGGAGTACTCCGTGTACGCCGTGGCGTCGCGCACGACGCCCTCCACGAACGACTTGATCACGCCACGCACCTCGTCGTAGATGATGCCGGAGATGCGCTTCACGCCGCCACGGCGCGCCAGGCGGCGGATGGACCCGCGGGTGATTCCACGGACGTTCTCGCGCAGGATCTTCTTCTGGCGTTTCTGCGTCCCCTTCGCCTCGCCGCTCTTCTTGCCCTTCGCCATCTTGCTGTGTTTGTTTAGCTGTGTGCTTGGTTGCTTGGTTCTGCGCGGTGTGTGAGAGCGAGGGGCAAAAAGAAAGGAAAAAAAGGAGAGAAAGAGAGAGAAGGTGCAGCTGGACGCCCATGAGGACTGGTGATCACAGAGGGGAGCGTGCCTCACTGCACACGCACACACACACACATGTGTATATATATATATATCTACGTGTGGCCGTCAGCCGAGCAGCCCCAAGTGTCTTGCTCCCTTCCTATCACCGTTGCTAATCTATCTATAGTTGCGGGGGCATGGCGTTGCCGCCAGTCCACCCGCCGCGACTGATGCCTCTAACATGTGGGTCCTCACGCGTAGCCGTACAGGATCTTGCCGCGCTTGCGCAGCGCGTTCACGACGTCCACGGCCGTGACGGTCTTCTTGCGGGAGTACTCCGTGTACGCCGTGGCGTCGCGCACGACGCCCTCCACGAACGACTTGATCACGCCACGCACCTCGTCGTAGATGATGCCGGAGATGCGCTTCACGCCGCCACG